GTGGCGTGGGGGTGAGCGCGGGTGCCTGAGCAGCCCGCCCTGCGGGGCCGCGCCCCCGGGCTCTGGCGGGTGGTTGCGTCTGAAGGAGGGCGAGGAGGAAGCAATGAATCGCAGGTGTTGGTTCTAGTGCGGAGCGAGGCAGGGTGAGGGCAGAGCAGGCCCTGAGCTGGGAGCGGGGGTGTCCTTCTCTGCCCCTGCGGGATCTCACGGGGCTGGTGTGACACAGGGACCGGTGTCACTGTCGCTTCTGCCTCGGCAGTGCTTTCGCAATAGTCACATCTGAAAAGGGAAGATAAAGGTGAACTGGCAGAGATTCCAGATTTGAAGAGGCCTACACTGGTCCAGCCACCTGTCCCCTTCCCAAAGGGACATCCCATGGCCAGAACTCTGCTAAGATGGCCTGTTTTCCCTCCGCAGCCCAAGCCTTCCCATGCCCCTTAGCAGATAAGCTGTGATTACTCCATTTCCATCCTGAACACTTCTGGCAGCCTTCAGTAGTTTTGGCACGGCGTGTGTTTGCATTGATCTGTGCATCCGGGCTTTCCCTGAGTCTTCTTTCCCATGACGGTGGTGGCTCCCTGAGTTCTAGCACCTGTAACATGGACACAGCTTCTGCGTTGTGCTGAGCCTTGCACTGGGCAGCCTCTCCATGAAACTGTTGGTCATGGAGAGTTTGGGGCAGGAGAAAGCCAAACGTGTGTTTGCAGGAGAACATTTGCCTGAGGCTGTGGCCTTGTAGTAGAACCTCCAAACCCTACTGTGTGCTTGTGAAGAGAGGAGACAGTGCTTGGGAGCACAGGGGCAAAGAACTGTGCCCTGATGATATGTTTAGCATACTTTTGAGTGTTCATGTGTCTAAAAGTGGTGGATGTAGGACTTAATAAAAATCATCAAAGAATGTTTCTGCGGAAGGTTCTTTGCAGGTGTCTCTTCCCAAAATTTAACTCAGTTGGGTAAATTTGGAGCTAACAGATGATGCCACTTGGAAGAAACACTTTCTTCAACCCTGATGGAAATAGGAACTTTAAGAGGTCAGAAACAGTAAAATAAGTTTTACAAAGGCTATGAACACGTCAGTTACTTGTAATTTTCTGTTTGTTTCTTAGAGAAAAAACACAAAACGTGTTCCAAGCTTTCGCAAGTTACTGAGAACTAGTAAAATAAAGCTTGACAACAAATTAAAGAATAAACAGTATAAGCAGCAGAGCACTGCTAAAAAGTATCGAAAGGAACAAAAGAAGCTAAGGGAGGCTGTCCGAGATGCTATCTCTAGGAAACCTTTTCCGTTGGAAGAATGCAAGAAGAAACAAGTTGGTAAGTGTTTACTCAGTATTATTTTTGTAAGCAAGAAGGTATCATGCTGCTTCGTATTAAAAAACTATGTATTAAGAAAACAACGTTTCATTTTTTCTGTATAAATAATTTGTGTTCTTGTTTAAAGGAAAGAAAGGGAGGGGTTTGAAAAGTATAAAATGAAGCCATTCTGGCAGTGAGATCTGACAGTTGCAGATGGTAGAAATGTGTTTGTTCTAATAATTATTTAATGTCAAATTAAAGGGGCAGTTTTCTGGGGTAACACAAAACACACAGGGGTTCGTGAGCTCAAGTTTGAAGTAAAGTAGGGAGGGTTGGGTTTTCAAGTTTGAATATACGTACAGAATCTAAATCTGTACACATTGTCTTCTAAAACAGTGGACAGACAGGAAGAAGAGGAAGAAGATGCTCTTCCACTGGACATGATGGATGAAGATGACTTAAAATTAATGGAAGATTTGGCTCAAAATGCATCCTTTTTAACCAGAGATCTTTCTTCTAAGTGAGCGTTGTTGTGACCTCTACTTTTCATACTAATTCAGCTTTGTGTGGTTAATATGTAATTAATATGTAACGTGATACATATATCAGGAGGTTACTTTCAGTCTGGTGTTTCTTTGCAGTTCCAGTTTAGTGTTTCCTTAGTCTGTCAGTACATTCAGTAGTAATGTATTGACATATATCAGTCCATTCACCTGCTCTGCTTGACCTTCAGGATACTATTTCTGTACAGTGTTCCTTCCCATTAGGTCACTGGCTGTGAGATGAGTAGCATTCCTCAAACTGAAAGGAATACTTTAATTTGTATACAGTTTTTTTTTTCTGGATAGGCTATTTGGGACATTCCTTGACTTTGGGCCACTGTGCTTCCATATTTATTGCATTGCAAATTGCTGTAAAAAGAGAGTTCCGGAAGCCATGTCTGTAAACACATGCAACACCAAAACATTTATCAAAAAGAATTGTTGCCAGTTTTCCAGAGCAAGGCGTTAGGTAGAGTTCACAATGAAATGTATAGAAGGGTAGTTGCTCTTTTGCCTGTTTCACAGGTACTAGCTTTTAGGTCTGTTCATAATTTTCCCTTAAACTGGAATGTTTGTCTTTTTAATCTGCTTTTCTCTGATCAACTATAATAATTCCAAAGAGCATGTAAAATCACAGAATCTGGATGTCTGGTATGACCCAGAACTTCCCTTGTTTTCACAGCAGCTGTAGAAGGCTAATTCATTCAGTTTGCCTTGTACTTTTCAGTGAGCCTGTTCACATCAAAAAACGAAAACATGAAAGTGTGATTGAGAAATATGAGAAGGTGCCAAGACGTATGCAGACTGAGCCAGAAAAAGAAGTCATCCATCTGCTTCCCATCAAAGACAAAAGTGGCATTATTCCCCAAACTATGGAAAAACCAGGTAAGACACAGATTCCAGAATCAGTAGAGTCGTCAATTTGTATATAATGTAGTCTTTTAAAATTCCACAGTGTTTGTCACATGCTTGACACTAAATACTCTTGTTTTTGCAGTTCTCAATGTTGGGCAGGATGAAGAAGAGGAGGCAGAAGAAATGGAAGAAGGAGAGGGTAACAAAACATCATGTTTGCTTTTTGCTGGTTGTTTGTTGTTTTTTCCCCAAGTGACTGACATATTTGAAGAGTACTTTGCTGTTCCCTAAGGAAGTTTGTAATTTAAATATTTTTTGTTTAGGATGTTTCTGATCTATGTTCATTACCATCTTGCCCCCAAAGCGTAACAGTGATTCAGAACCTCCTTTCTTACATGTCATGATCTTACAGATCCCAGGATCTGAGGAACAGCAGGTTTCAGAATCTCTTTCTTTAAATTTAATT